ACGAATATTTCAGCACAATCATGATATGAAACCCACCGCCAGAACTACACGAGTTTCTAAATGTGCAAACTATAACCTGGACAAGTATGTCACTTAAAATGGATCCAATAGAACCCCCTTGGATATCTTTTGAAGAGAACCGTAGGTCAACACAACTCCACCAACAAAGACTACTTGGAAAAATTGAACATCTTCCATTAACACACTAGTATCAAACCACACTGGTAAATAAAGGTGGACAAATTTAACACTGAAAACATTAAAGTTTTCCCACACTGTGACAGTGCTTTAGCTGTATAAATAATCCCCCTCAGACTCACTAATGCTGGAGTGTCCAGGCTTTCTTCCCTGCAATCTGCTGCATCTCTAAGTACTGTCTTTACCGGAACAGAAATCAACTTTTTTGTTTTCTTGCTGAGCGATAGATGCGACAACTGACACCATCCTTATGTCTGTGTGCTACATATGAAGCTACAGCCAGCTACCTTAGCTTAGCATAAACATAAGAAACCTCACTGCATGTTAACAAATTTGCCTACCAGATCGACTTAAGCTTTGAATGATTGTATATCATGTCTTTGTCTTTGGTAAAAACACTTGAGAAGCCTGGAGAAAAGTCAAAATGATTCACTTCTGTCATGATATAGCCTTCCGATGTGCCCTTGATTAAATTTTGCACCCTCCAGTGGTTCCGGGGAAACTGACTGACTGACTGCTTCAGATGCAGCTGGCCAATCTCTGAAAATATTTATTTGAGAAAACTGTAAATGCTGAGTAATCTGGCCAGACACGGCACATAGACAGGTGCCTTCATGTAAACCAGTAACGGCACACATAACGAAAGCTTGCTTGGAGTTAAATAAAGAAAAAAAAAAGAGAAAAAGACCTGAAACCCTCCCTACTCAGCAGCTCACCCTCATTCTGTCACACATGTAAAGCTGCCGGGTCCAGCCTGATGCTGGGGGGGGGTGGAGGGATGTTAGCACAATACACATGCCAACTCCACAGCAACATGTGCAGGACTCAGCATCTTCTTCGGACTCACCCACGACCGTGTGTTGGTTGTAATCAGATTAATTCGGAAGCTAATTTGTTGCTGTCAGGTTCTGCCCGGCCGCCGTCAGTAGCACAGATCCATAACTTATCGAAAGCTGATTAACACATCAATCCTCCTGCTTGTGCCCGCTAAGAACACGAGGCTGTGTGGTTGTCAAGATTACTTAAGTGTGAACGGAAGACTGAGGAATCCAGACGTGAGAGCCGTGCATTAACTTGCATGATCCTGTCACCACAAGCTGCCGTCAGAGTGATACTCCAAGCTGGGCTTTGCATTTTAAGTAATACTATAATAATTAGTCCCGTTTTCAGAATGGTGTACTGGAGTATGAATGACTAAATGTGAAACAGGGTCGAATAAGAAGGAGGCAGCTGGTGTGGAGTCACGTGAGCTGTAACTGCTCTCACAACAAAGAAACTGAGCGTCAGTAAAGGATGCCGCTGCCTGACCTTTGACCTTTACATTGGAGGGTCTTATATATAATGTCTTATATATTGAGAGCCTCCTTTTCCACTGCAATCACATTTAGCTTACAGCTCTGTGTTGCTCCTTTTCAGCTCCCTTGGGATCTCGAACTGTGTGACATTTGGCAGTCAGGTGACATTCAAAAATGGGCCCCGACTTGTCTAATGAGCTGCACTTTCTTCCAGTGAGCTAAGGAGACAAACTGAGTTGGGGGTTGGAGGGGGACCTCTGCAACAGGCCCGTCTCGTGCAGCCGTGGCATGATGGTAAATTGGAGCTGGCGTGATAGGTCCTGACAGCAGCACAGCCTTGGCCATGAGCACAAACTGCCTTGCTTACGTAACCAGCCCATTGTTACCGCCCTGTCACTGCCATTAAAATTCATGGAATTCACATGAAATCACGCTCCAGACGACTGTTTGCAGCAGCAGGAGACGCAGGCAGGGCAAAGTTGATCAAAGTCAAAAGAGACGAGAATCGAATGAGCTAAAAGTGGGCACGTAAGACACACAGTTGGGCAAATCCAGTGAGACTACAGGAGTGCAGGTTTCCTCACAGCCTGTAAGTCAGTACTCTGGGGCGAGTGGACGCTCTCCAAAGAGCAGGAGGCACAATGAAAGCAGACCTGTTTCAACCAGCTTTTCAGCTGACACTCCTTCACACCTTTAAGGCTCTGCTGACACCCCCCACCTGTTTTTAGCACTTCTGCCATATATAGATGATCACAGGAAGATCATTTAAAGCTGAAGCTGTAAAACACTCCTTTAGGGTAAAAGTTAACAGTCATTTTGTCTCGTGATCCTTGTAGCAAGTTGCTCATGGAGTGGCAAACGGGTAAGTCTAAGAACTATTAGATGTGGTTCAATGAACAGGGATGCTATAAACGATGTAAAAACAAAACATGACAAATAGACAGTTAAAGGGCATCTTTAACCTCTCATATTGATCTTGCCACTCACTGAGAGGTATTACATTGCAGGAATGCAGATTTTCACGGCTTTTTCAGCTGTTACTGTTAAGGTGCCCTTAAGCAAGGCATTCAAAGTCTGATCTGCTCAAGATGAATGGAGCTGTTGACGAACCTGGAGCTGGAACAGCCTGTTGATAAACTGAAGAATGTGAATATGGAGCTCAGTGCTGAAGTGAAAACAATTAACAACGAAACAGAAAATATGTTCAGTATACAGCTGAAGTGAGCAAACCCCTGTGCAGTATCATCTAAATGTCAAATGATTCAAAACTATATGCCCTCTCAGTAACTGCATCATTTCTAAGTATTTAATCTCGTAAACAATCCAAAAAATATCTGAGTTTCTGTAACAGCTCAGAAAGTGCAAAGGACATCGAAGAACATCAATCGCTACGGACAGTGTCCCAGAAAGCCCCCGCTGACTGGTGCTTAGTACAAAACTGCCGGAGTAAACTGTTAAAAGACATGACAAGATCCCTGATGAATATTGGGATCACATGTTAGGTCTGATGAGATAAATTTGTGGGGCTTGGATGGACTACCACAGTAAATACATAGTCCTGATTGTGAAGTGGAAAGATTTGGGGCTGCATGAGTGCAAAGGGTGTTGGAGAGATGACATTGTAGTTGATGACATGATGGTCTGTGAATATAAAAAAAAATGGTGGACAAGGTGACTCCCAGTCTGCAGAAGCTTGTTGGGAGACAAATAGTGCAGCACGATCATAATATAAAACCCACCGCCAGAACTACACACCAGTTTCTAAAGAAAAATGTGAAAATTATAACCTGTACAAGTATGTCACTTAAAATGGATCCAATAGAACCCACCAACAAAGACCACCTGGAAAAATAGTCCCAGCAGTGTGTTAGTGGAAGATATTCTATCAAACAACACTGGCAGGATCCAAGGAGAGGATTGAGTCCGTCATCTAGAACAAAGGTAGACAAATTCAATACTAAAAACAATAAAGTTTTGGATCTCAGTAATGAAAGGTGTCCCGACGTCTGGTGCATTAAGTTCCTACTATGGAGCCTGTTTTAAATACAGTAAATCTAAAGTATTGTTTTTAATATTACAAAAGTCACTATTCAACTTATCAATAGCTACAAGGTGATACAATTTAGAATCATGTGACTTTTCAGTGACATTGCAAAGGAGTGAACTTACCTCTGTTACATACAGTAATTTCATTACCGCCAAAACTTCAACTCAGCTGTTGAATCTCTCTGATGCAATGCAAGGTCTTTTGGAAAACCTTCAGCAAAAACCCTAATAAAGTATGAGGTGTGTCAGAAAAGTTCCAGGATTGGTGTCACAAAAGATATATTTTGAACCCAAACTACAAACTACCAGTTTTCCCCTTCAGACGATCAACCAGCACATCTATAAAGAGATCCTGTGGCGTTTGCTTCGTTCAGAGAAGAGACGAGAGTTGTGGCAGGACAAGTGGTGGCTGCTTCACCATGACAACGTTCCTGCTCACAACGCCCTGAGCATCCAACAGTTCCTGGCTGAGAAGAACATCGCTGTGCTGGAGCAACCTCCCTACTCACCCCACCTGGCTCTGTGGGATTGTTTCCTCTTCCCCAAGCTCAAGGGGGTCATCAAGGTGACCTGTTTTGAAGACGTGGACGACATCAAGATGGCTGTGACGACAGAGCTGCAGAGGATCCTGGAAGAATCCTTCCAGGAGTGCATGGCGGCGTGAAGAGAAGGCTGGGAAAGTGTGTTAGACTCCAGGGGGATTACTTGAAAGGGGAAAACTTGTAGTTTGGGTTTAAAATATATCTTTTGTGACACCAGTCCTGGAACTTTTCTGACACTCCTCGTATGTACTCAAACCACCTCTCACACACACACACAGGAGTTGGAGCTGCTTGTCCTCACACTCACACGTGCTCACTTTCACACACAGGCAGATATAATGATGCAGGTGTTTCCACACTGTTCAGATGGAATGATTTATTCATAATCATGATAGCATAATAAAACAATGAACATTGAAAGCACTGACAGTTGAACCCAAGGCCTCTCACACACAGCATGCACCACCCCGACCCCAGCGTTCACAGAGACACTAAACATCCCTAACGCCAAGTCACTCCTGGCTTCTGAAAGTCGTCCTTTTTTTATTCTCTGTTCCAGTCAGGTTTTTCCTTGTTCCTTTTTTTTTTGTTTTTTTAATCCTTTAAATATATTTTGATATAAAAACAAGCCCACATATGATGAATCAACCATGTTTGTGAACTGCCTCTCCCCCTTCGTCTCCTGTTACTGTCCTGCCCCCACCGTTCCACTGCTCCCCCGGGGCTTGTCTTGGTTGGAGGACGAACATGATACTGGCCCCCGTATCCCCCCCCTCCCCCCCGCCTCTTCCTGTTCACGTGCTCTTCGTGGACACTTGGAAACAAAAAACCCCAGTCTGATGTGGTGATGGTGGAGGTGGGGGAGACAGCACTAAAAA